CTTGTCTAGAGTATATCCAGATGGGCCAAAAATCAGGAAATGTAGGAAGCCCTGGAAAGGCAGTCTGTTCTTGGGAGTTTTAAATCGATGTCTCTACGTTAGTAAGGAAGAATTCTGACTGTGGAAAACTGCAAATAACTCGACCTTCCAGACTTTCAGAAATATTTTAACCACTGCCTACATTAGGGTAAAGCAGAGCAAATGATCCCAGCATCTTCTAGAGCAGGAGTACGCTGTCAGGTTCCCTTTGCCTTGTCTGTCAACTGTGAGGCTTGACTTCTCCTCTACATGCCTAGTGTCAGCTCTCCTTACTTCACTGATGCCATGGGAGCAGGATTAAGTCTCCAGAGCGTACCCTGCTATTACATTTAGCCTACTGCATGCACAGGGGATGTTTGAACGTGCTTGTGCTGTAAGCAATAGGAGATTTTGTTCACTCTTTCCTCCTTTTGGCCCCCTTTTACACCATGGGAAACAAACTAAAGTTTGTGTCTCCATCATGTCTGAATGGCATTACTGTGTAGGTGAGAAGAAAAGCTTTCTTGCTCAGTTGCGCTAAGGTCGCCTGTGAATGGGTACAGTGCAAACTGGTTGCCATTACATGCTCAAGTCCAATTCTGAGAGGGGTACCAGAGCACTGGATCCTGAAGAGGACTCACAGAGCTGTTATAAACAGATCGATGCACCATCCTGTCAAGGAACTCCCAGGTCTCATGAAGCTCCATGATTAAAGCAGCACGGGACCCCATTTTTCAAAGTGAAAGAGTTCTTTAGTTAAAAGATTGCTTTCTTTCCAAAAAAAAGGTGGGGAGGGAGGGAATAAACACCTATTTGTCTTTACAAACATCAGGTAAAATATTCTGTTCACATTAACAGCTCTAGAAATATAAAATCATTAATGGCAATATTAACAACTTATTTAGGCACCAAAATAAAAGGTTTGTAGTAAAGAAAAAAAAAAGTCTATGACCTTTTTAAGAAAGGTGTCAATAACATGTTCAACTAAAAATCCAAGTGATGTATATTTCAAAACAAGTTTGTTTCAATTGCTGTCACATAGAAACAATTTAGAAATTTCAAAAAGTTTCTTTTTTCTTCCTTCCTAGTGATTTGAATGGGATTGCTGTATAGTCACGAAGCCTAAATGAAGCATCATTTCTCTGCTATTCCCAGCTTCCAGAATCTTATCACATCTTCCTATGTTTTACGTTCTTAAAGTCTCACCACCCAAGGCAGGAAATTACATGAGAATTGCAGTTGTTATTTGGGTTTTGCTTTGTTTTGATTTTTTAAGAACATTTCAAGAATGTTTTTTTATTCTCATGTTTATTAAGAAAAGATTGAAAATGTGACTCATAGAGGCTCAGAAGCTGGCAACTAAATAAAAGGAAATACAGATTTACAGCTCCATTATTCTGAAGCCCATGTTATGCGTGGCAGGACAGGAGGGGAGAAGGCTGACGCATGATTTTTAAATGCAGGGGCTCTCGCTGGGGCTCAGTTTTGCAGCCCCCAGCAGGGTCAGAGCATGTCCTGAGGACCTCACCTTGAGCCAGCCCTGGGGCCCTGGGTTCCCAAAGCTGAGAGGGATGCCACAAACCCCGGGGCCACAGCTGAGCCAAGCACTTTCAAAACAAACCCTTGTAATTATGTCAATGTCTTATTTTTCTCTCCCATAAACATTAGCTGAAGTTCTGCTCTGTGCTCAGAAAAGGAAAGATTTGCTCTTGCAGTTTTTACATACTGAGTTTTCTAACCAAATATAGATACTGACTTTCACCTACTTCTCATTACCATGGCACTTAAAGATCCTGTAACTTCACAGTCATAGCGTGAAGATAACTTAAATAGGGAGCCTGAGAAGCAGACATGGGTCTCCACTGTGCTGGTGGCCACGCTCCCCACCACCACCGTGGCCAGGGTCACACGACCCAGGCAGAAGTAGCATGTTCTCCCTGTCTGGGCGAGAAGACATCCACAGTGCATGTTGCTGGGCAACCATGTGCAGTAAAAGATAACTCGCGGCTGCTGGATATTGTCAGCTTCCCCTCTCTTCCTGAAGGGGAGATCTCTAAGAAAAGGGAAGTCATGGCCAGTGCCTGTTTCTCAGCCTAAATCTGGGAGCTCCTACTTGTGACAAGGCTTGACAGAAAGACTAAAATGTGTGACTCATTGCAAGCCCAGTGAATGTGTGCAAAGGCAATGTGTGCCTTTTCCAGGGGCTTGGAACAGGCCCTAGGATTGTCATTTCAGGGTAACAACAAAATTGTCACTATCTGAAATGAGGCGTGAGGGTCCCTGAGACAGTGCCAGCCCGGGGCTCCCATGGGGAAGGCAGAGCTCACGTGCAGGGATCAGCACCGCAGAGAGAAGGAGGAGCAGGAGCTTTCTCCGGACGCCAGTACTGCTCAGAAATTAAGCAGTGATGCTGCAGGTGGTGAACAGGGGACACCCCTTGGGAGAGGAGCCAAGTGGAGACAAATACCAGTAGATCCGAGAAAGCCCATGGCCTCTGGGTACAACTGCTCAGTGAGAACAGAGCTCAGCCAAGGCGAGTTTACCTTTGCAAGGGTCATTTATCACAGAAACAAGGAATGGGAAACCCTGAGTTGATACCCTAAACCTAATGTCTTGCTAGGGACTGTGGGGAGAGGACACTCAGCAGAAGAGCAGAATTACTGTCTCTCTAAACGAGGAGGTGAAAAATCCTCTGATTGTTATGACTTTCAGTCAAGAAAGTAAGTGAGAGAAACCCAGACTGTAACATACACTAGCATTCAGGAGCAAGGCAATACAGATTTCTGAATGAAGCAGGAAGTATTGCCCATTTAGCAGGAGCACTGAGATCCAGTGAGCAGAAAAGGGTTCAGAGGGGATGGTGGGAAGGGGAGAGAAACCTCTTCAGTTGTCTGGATTTAAATGATTGTTGCAGTTGTTTTCTTGAACCGTGACATACTTTCACATTGCCATTAGAAACCTAACCCTAGGAAATCTTTTAACGGCAAAGATCTTGCTTCTTGGAAGGAAGGACTCTTTCTGATAGTGCTTTCAGTAAGCCTGAACTTGTGCTTGCCGCAGAGATCAGACCTGTCCCTGCCCAACTTAGATCCGTCCTGGGTGCTGAGGGGTACACCAGGAGCTCAACCACTGAGAATAGGCAACCCACAGACTGCCTCTCACAACTGTAGTGACAAGTTTTTCCCAGTATGATGATGAACAGAATTTGAAATTTTGCCAAGGCACATCTTGCTGATTCATCAGCTCAGCTTAACAGCATCATGGTGTGGAAGCGACTCGCTTTATAGAAGTGCTTTTGTTAACATCTTCTAACCTCATCAGCTAGGAACGCTTCCTTCAGGTTGTTCACTGACATTTGTCTAAACCACAGAGCCCCACAGGCAGCACATGTGCCCCACACAGGCGGCAAAGAAGGACAAATGCATGTATTGGAGTGGTCTGGCTTTTGGCAAGAGCTGGAGAAGGCTCCAGTTTTTGCTCCTCACCACTTCCAGTGTGGCTCGTCTGCAGCCCTTGCTATCCTTCTCCCTTTCATTTCCCCTCCTTTTTTTTTCCTGTTTCACTGCTGAAGTTCCCAGGCAGGTGCCAAGAGGAAAGGACATGCAGGCACCAAACACTGCACATTCTCCTTGCACAGATAGCCCGAAGGCTCCACTTTCAAAGGCACTGCAAAGCAGCATGATAGGCCCACGCAGACCTCCAGAGGTTTGGGCCCAAATGCTTGGAAAGCTTCTATTCCCCTGTCCTCTAACAGCTCATATCAGTAAGGTGCTGGCAGTTAAATTCTTCTGCATCTCATTCATCAGAATGAAGAGGTTTTTGATTGGTCTCCTAAAGCTGTAGTCTATATTGCACTAGCAAGAATGAGACATGAGATATTTAGGTATGCATAGAGTTAAACAAGAATATGGCTTTAATAAGTTTCAGCAAGGAGGCACCACTGAAGAAGAGAGGATATTAATACATACTGGAACATAAATACTCATGAAGCTGATGGAAATAGGGAATTCTGTGAACACAAATATGAAAACCATTGACCGGACCACTGACCACAATGGGATTATGACGATATCCATTAAGTAAAGAAGACCCACAACTCTGTGTTAAAAAGACCACAGTTTCCTTCTCCATTTTATTCTCAGGCATCCTTTCCTAATAGCAACAATAATTCCTGTCCACAAGAATAATGCCAACTAATAGGTTTTGTGGCTGGCCTGTTCTGAAAGATAATAGGAATTACAATATCTTGAATTTGCCACATCCTATCAATATTCAGGGGGAACAAGGATCCCTTAACTATCAAAGCTATGTCAAGTTGAAATGACGGAAATAAAAACGCACTGTAGATTCCTTCAGGGAGAGGCAGCGAGCAAAGTTTCAAAGCTTAAAACTCAAAGTGTATTCTTTAAATTTACGCTAAAAATCACATGAAGGCTTTCTTAAGTTTAAATAAAAAAAAAAAAAAGAGAGAGAGAGAGACCAAATTCATCTCTAGGAAACAATCTCAGGGAAATTATTCCAGGGAAGAATTTGTTCACCATACATACAGCATTATATGTCACATGGTCTAATTATAGGAATGAAAGCAACATAGGAATTAGATGGTCTTTTCAAGCCTGTAAAGATGTGAACAAAGAATATAATTACACATCGAGCCCGTTGATTAACCAATTACTTGTTAAAGCAGATTTAGACTTTAAATTAATTTGGTTCTGAATTCTGGGGATTTGGGGGCTAAGATAAACAGTGTTTGAAGATTAATTATCCTTGTCTAAGATGAAGAAACTCATTTCAATTTTGTTAGCATGTCGAAAAACTCTTGCTGTTGCATGGGAGAGGGTAGACTGCAAATCTCAGCAGTATTGAACTGAATGATTAAAGTGAATTCTGAGACTCCTAATCACTCTAATCCTCACAGAGAGTGGCACATTACATTTTGCCAGTCCAAATTAATATTTAAATGAAAAAAGACCAACATTTACCTAGAGGAGAAAGTGCACTATCTCCAAAGGACCAAGGGAAGTCCAGCCAAGGAGTTACAAACTCACTAGTAAAGAAACACTGCAGTACAGCTCTTCATGCTCCTGTGAACAAAGAATAATAATAGGGAAATTAGAGGTGCTCTTGTGATTTCTGCCATTTTTCTGTGTAGTAGCAGTATCACATCATAGCACCTTAACTGGACTTTGTGAGAGTATTTTGTTGAAACCCAGCCATGGGTCTGGACTCCTTTTGCTAGGAGCTGTATAAGCATAGAAAGAGGCAGTCTGTGCCTCAGAGAACCCCCTAGGGAAACACAGTACAACAGATGAGAGATTGCAGCTACTTTCATCCCTTCCTAGCAGAGGAGAACGTATGCTGAGAGCTTCCTTAAGTTGGCCAAATCCATCACTTCATGTCATCTCCTCGGCTTGAGCCACAACCGGCTTGAGGTGTGCTTACAGCCGGGCTCCTGGCTTCCCCGGAGCTGTCCTGGTTGCAGACTGCTGCAGGCTCTGTGAGGCGACCAGCCTCGGCCAAGGAGCCCTGCATTAGTCAGAATGACGTCCTGAGGTGACAGCCATGAGATCATTCCCAAGCTTAATGCTCAGCCCTCTCCATCAGGAGGCCAGTGCTGCTAATTGCACTGCTGAGTCACCGAAAGTAAATGTAGCATGAATAGAAACAATAAGGCAAGTCCAACAGGCTATCTAGAGTCCAGCGGAGCAAAGGAAATCTCGCAGCAGCTGTGAGACCGCAGGGAACAGGGCAAAAAGCATCACCCTTGCTACTGAATAACATTCCCCTCGTGTCTCATTGCTTCCAACTCGAGCCCAGCCTGACTCAGGTGTTTCCTTCCCAGAGCCCACGAGTGGCTATGGGACACCAAGAGCTGCCCCAGGGAAGGGAGCTGCAAGCCCCAGCGATGGCCAGCTCCCTGGTGTAGCACTGCCTGTGAAGTTACTGCCCTCAAGTCAAGTGTGCTGCGTCCCTCGTGTCCTTTTCTGAACGAAACGGGTCTTGGGAATATAACTTCTACTGCTCACAAGAGATTTGCTGCCAAGAGCCCAAACCTTTACCTTGAGTAAACAGCAAGGTATATGTACGTCCTGTTTTTTTCCTTCAAAACCTTGTCTTTAAACAGTTTGGTGCCTTTATGGTCAGCACAACCAAACCCCAGCAAAGCTGTAATACTGCAGAGGAAACTCCTGTTGTGTATAGGTAAACCTGGAACCATGCATTTACTTCCATTGAGGTTGCCTTTGCCCTTCAGCTGGTAGAAGAAGAATAATGAAATTTTAGGTTTGAGGGCATGCATGTAAGTATGTATATGAGAGAGAGAGAGAAATAATCTAAAGGCATAAGAAATAGCTGGTGTGGAAGCTTGTGGAATCTTATGCTATTTTCATATGCCGAGTGACAACTATATTCTTGGCCCAAATTATTAATTGTGATAAAATTAGTATTTTTATTAATTATTCTAATTTCAGTCTGGCCGGGCTAGGAGTCCAGTCCTGGTGTAAACTTCACCTTGCTAGATGCTAGACAAACATACATCTAGAAGGGTCCTGTCTTACTGCACTTATGGCCCTAATTCCCAACTACTGGGCAACGCACCGAGTATTAACTGGTACGCCAGACGCCAGAGGTAATGGGGATTTGGGACACACACAAAATAGGTTATAGGTTTCAGGTGAAACTTAAAATGTGAAACTGAGCTGCAGGATGAAGAGAAGAGATCTGGGTCTTTGTGTGAGAGAATATCTTCAAAAAGAGGATTCTAGGCAACTGCTGTTGCATGCACTCCATCAGTGTGATATTTAACAGTTTGTTACCATGAAGATTGTAGGAACAACACATCTGACACCCAAGCATCTCTTGCATCCAGGAAATTCCTCCCTTTTAAAGAAAACATATCCCTGTGAGCCCAAAACTTTGGTTATCCCTGAACTAAGCAAGCCTCTTCATGCATATAATTTTCAAAAACATAGGAGCCATCTTTTCTCCCCTCCTTCCTCTCCTCTCTGAGTCATACTTTCACATTTCCTCCAGTGCTCGCTGCATGCTTACTCCCACATCTTTCAGCCAAAAGAAGACAAAATTGTGCAAGCAGAAGGACCCACAAGCCCTGGTTTCCCGCTGGCGAGCATCCCGTCTCCTTACGCTTGCCCCAGAGCAAAGCCTCAGCTGCCCCTTTTCCTCTTTTGATTTTGAACCCCTTGGAAAATCTCCTCCACCACTTTCTCTCCCCTCCCATGCCCATCTCCTGGCGGCGCCAGAAGACACGCACTCTGCAGCCAGGGCTGGGTTCGGTTCGTGCCACCAGCAGCTGTGCACTGGTCAGGTAACACAAGGACAAGCAAAAGGGATAATCAGCTTTTTTCAAGGGGTCACGATGGGTCACGATCTTAGATCCCTCTCCTGTCCACCTGCTCTGGCTTCCCCAAAACTGGCCAGACCCAACCTGCCCAGAGGTGCCCAGCCCCAACGCAAACCTGCCTCCGAGCAGTGGTCGTGATGCACTCAGCCCCAGGCACGGCTCAAAAGGCACTACAGACAGAGCCAAGGTGCTGCTGGGGGCCGAGGCGCCAGGCCGCAGCTCTGCCGTGCTGGGCGCAGCCGGAGGAGCCGCGGGGAAGCCGGGCTCCACGTAGCTCCAGCAAATCTATGCTGAGCTGGCGTGAGCAGGGGCTTGCAGCTCGGTCAGATCTGGGTAGATTTGCATGGAAATGACAAAGTACCCCATGCTGTTCATCTACACTCCCATTCCAGAGCGCACAACACAAAAATATTGCCAGATTTTACCTATATATATGTGTATGTATATACATACACACCCAGATGTATACGGGTGAAACAATGTATTTTCCACTGCCCTCACTTTCAAAAACAATGACAATGTTTTGGATGAAATTTAAATAGAATAGCAGCTTGAGGCAGATGTGCTTGGCAAAAGGAGAAGCAACTGGAAACAGACTCTTACAATGGAAAATATTGTGCACGCCTTGTAACAGGAGGTGCCACCAGCTCTGCCTAAAGCCATAAATTACTCATTTCAGCCCCTGTATCTCACAAGATTTTCACAGGAATGGAAATAAAATCCCTAATATCCCTTCCCCGAGCAGGAAGAGTAGCGTAGCTGTCGTCCAAGCGCAGCTGCAGTCCTAGCAGTGCCCCAGCCACGTAAAGCCAAGTTGGACCCTTTCAGCTTGACTCCAGCCCTGGCGAGCTCCTGCCACTGAGGCCCCACGAGCACGCGGGGAGGCTCAGGGCGCCGGATGGCAGACGTGGTGCCGGGGCCAGGGGCAGCGGTGCTCTGGTCAGTGCAGCACGAGGAAGTGCAGCCCCCTCAGATTGTGTTGGGGTGCTTGCAAGCTCGGTGATTATTTTGTGCAGGGAGGCCTGTGCACCCCTTCCCTCCATCCTGACGATGCTGAAGGGCTTCCCCTCAGCATGGGGCTGCTGTCCCCCACCCCTCTCAGGCAGAAACCTTCCCAGCACACAGCACCACTCGCCAGATCAGGCTTTTCCTCAGCTGAGATGTCCCGCTGAAACTATCTAGACCATTTATTTGATCTGTGAGCTGTCATGCCCTCAGAAGCTCAAGTCTGTGCCATGGACATAATCTTCAGGGTTATAAGCCTGGATTGACGTATCGTCTATTTAAACTGCAGCTGTTTGTATTGCAGCATCCTGCAGGTTGAATAAGTTAAACTCCTCTGAGTACGCCTAAGACATGTGAAATAAAAATGGAGCTGTAACTTGTTAAAGTGTCACTGCGGGACTGGGAACAAGTTTTGTTTTGTGAAATTAAAGGGGCGCCCAAAGGCATCTTGAACTACTTCTGCCACCAGAACCTGCCCCCCAGCACACCTGTCCTCCTGAGGATGTTCTCCATTTAGTGCCCATGCTGGTGCCCTCAGCATTGTCACCTGTAGCTGCAGTTGTGATTTATTTTTTCTACAGCGCTGGGGGTGGGTGAGTCACTCTGCAAAACATAAGAGGAGCGAGAGGGGCCAGACACCATGCTCAGATATGCCCTGGCAAATGCAGGCGGTCTCTTCCGCCTTCAGGGAGCTCTCCCAGGATCCAGTCACCACAATTTTCTCGTAGGACAGGCGACCAGCCCAAAGGCACCCAGCTCCAATGGCCTCAGGGCACACAGGGTATTCAGATGATGAATCATTCTTGCCTAAACAGCAGGAATCCAGAAGCAGCTGGAATAGAAATAGCAGCAAATAAAGGCATAGCCATGCTCTCCATTTCCAGGAGCTCTGAGCATAATATCTCAGAGCTCCTAAAACTCTGTGTAGTGTCCTTTGCAGGGCTTTGCTGTCCATGAGGAAAATTGGGGAAGATGGATGGTGTGTTACATCTCTTCCGCAGCAAGTTACACTTGGGCACCGTATAGGACCTAGCATGGATCTCCTGACCAAGAGAAATCCCAAGGCCTCCCTCACCCTCAGTGCCCTCTGCACAGCAAGGAGTGAAAGGAGAGGCCGGGACAGCCTGACCCAGCACACCAGCTGACCTGCAGCCAGTGAAGCGGTCGCTAAGAGGATATCTATGCTGTCATGTTACTTCATTGCTAGCTTGCTCTTGCTCTTGGACCAAACCACTGCCCATTCAGCCAGGAGGTCTGTAGGTAGGAAATGCAGGCATAGGGTGGAGAGCAGCCTGAATTTGAACCTTATCACTACAGGTAGTGAAAACACAGTCACTTCAAGCCACATGACACGGTGGGATCAATGGTATGCCTGGGCACAGCTAACAAAGGATGGTAGAGTTTTCACCGACACAGCCATCGCGCTGGAAGTGCCTTGAAGCAACTCTCAAGGTGCTTTCAAAGGTATGCCAGAAGATTTTTTTTTGAGTTCCCAGGAAACAAAGACAACAGGAATCACTTTCCTTCCCTTCTCCGTTGTGTAGATTATGCACATAACACAGTGATACTTTGCCTTATAGGAGCAGATTTACAAAGAGATTTAGGCACCTAACTTCCTGCCAAGCTCAATGAAAAGTAGGGTGTGCAAACAAGAAAGAGCTTGACTCCCAAACTTCCCGATGGGTCTGGCTTTTCTCTTTGAACATTTGCGTTCCAATGTGATTTCATTTCCTTCAGCCTCTTGTCTCTAAAAATATTATGAATAATGATTCAGAGGCAGAAAAAACCTTCAGTGCACTCAGCCAGTTGGGCAGTTCTCTCACACATGCATAGACATACCCCAGAGGTGATCAGCTGCAGCACTGGAGGGTAAAATCCAGCCCTGGTTATCTTAGCCTTGTGTGTGGTAGCCAGTGACAATTATATTAGCCAACACTTTAAAAACCCAGCCATACATGCTTGACATTGAGTGTCTGCATCAGTGAAGACCACAGGCTGTCTATTCAGTGTGCAAAGCAATATCCTTGGTAATTCCTTCTAAACTCCTTGCCTTTAATGTCCTGGAGACCTTTCATTCTCATGTTAAGGGATAGTGTCAAATGGGAGAAGCTGATCAGTTTTTGCTGTGCCCTTCTTAATCTGGAATATGAGAGTCAAATGCTTTTCAACTCTGCTCCTTTCTCAGGTAGAAAATGGTTTCTCTGGCCATAGTTTTTACAATTTCTCATGCTATGGGACGTTTCTAGGCAGATCAGTTCTTTTTCCCTAATAGCTCTTGCTGTACCTTTAAATTGAGATGAATCAAACTGCGGGCAGCGAACCCATGGCTGAGTCAGATAGAGAAGCTGGCTTCTAGGCCTTATTATCTCTCGAAGTAGGAATGAGAAAGATACCAATTCACTTGTGTGGACAGCCTTGGAGATGCACAAATGAAAAGTGCTAGAGCCATGCTAAGCATTTGAATTGCAGAGCTTGATGGCAGGAGTGAACACCTAGCTCTTCTCCAGGCCACGCTGCAACAAGAGCAAGGCCATGCAGGCACATCCGTGCAGCACCAGCACAGTGACACCCCAGCTAGCTCGACACAAGCTTTGGCACCAGGGGCAGCACAGTGATGTTACTGTGCCGGTGCTCCCAGGCTAACTTACCCAAAGCCACAGCTGGACACTTTACCGTGCTAGCACTATAGTGCACAGTCGTGGCATATTTTTTCCATCACCTGTTAGCCCAACAGACAGAAATACAGCAAACAGCACTAGGAAGTAAGCTCCCCCCATCTCACGGTAACAATGCTGTTGCAAATCCCTAGGGACGTTTGTAAGCCCAAGGTACTTCTGAACCTGGTAAGAGGCTTTGCTCAGAGTTATGCAACTTAACTGCTGAGATTAATTAGGTGCCCAAAGCAAATGGACTCAGTCCTAGCAACAGGTTATCAGAGTACCAGCACTAAACCAGCTGCACAGAAGTATACCAATGTCACAAAAGAAAAAAGTAGGTTATATCTGTGCAATAGCTTTCCTTCGGCTGGAGCAGTAGCACCAGATGCAAAGATGTGGAGGTGGGTGAATAGGCCAGCAGTATGACTGGATACCCACGGCTCCTGGGGGAATTGGGCCAGGTTCTGCCATAGAAATGCAGCCTCATTGCTCCCTCTGTGCTGACTAGAAGATGCACAACCCACTGTATTCAGTTTTTAGTTGTAGATATATTGCACACCTTGGTCTGCGCTTCTCTTTCCTGAACTCCTACCAAAATCCATCCCCCATGGTTTTCTGCATGGATTCGGGACAACCGATGTCATCAGCAGGACGATCTCAGTGTGTGGCAGGGGACTGACTGTCATGCAATGCCTTCCTTGCCAAAGCAATCCCGGTTGCTGAGTTCCAGTCAGCTAGCGCAAGGTGAGTAGGTATCTAAGTATGCATAAAGGCATAAAGAAAAACGTTTCACCATGATTCTTAAAAGCCAAAAGAGCTTACAAATGCTCCCGGCCTCATACAAAAATCAGTCTTCAGACTTTGATTACTTAGCTCTGCAAGTATTAGGGCTCCCATTTTAGAAAGGAGGTTAAATGACGTGCTCCAACAGTCACATATGGCAGAGGTGAGGTCAGATGAGAGATCTGGGTTCCTGTCTCGCCGGCCTGCCAGCAGGACGGTAGGCCATACTGACACTATAATTATATATTCCCCTTTTGCCCCTAGAGCTTTTTACTAGAGCAAGATAATTAAGCTCTCCTTCTGGCTTTCTTCTTTTAATGAAATGGTGGACATAACACAGCTTGGTATTTATTAACGATAATGAGTTTTTAAAACAATTTGACGCAGCAACTCACCTTTCACTTGTGTGGTTGTGGTGCATGTCCAGCATTGTTCTCAATTTAATGATGCCACGCGTCTCGGGTCAGTCTCCTTTAGCAAGCAGTCTGTAACATAAAATCCAGTAGCCTCCATTTGCAGGCAGGTCATTCTGAATGAAAAGCAGGTCCAGGCTTGAACTAACATGAGCAGATGTAAGCTTCCCCCTCTGTTTGAGGTGCTGATGGTGGTTTATTAATTTTTAGAACAAGGTCACAAGTTTACTTGCCTGCTGAATCTGAGTTAGCAACCTTGCATTTGTAGGCAAGTAAACACAAGCCTTCAATATCTGACACTCCCAATGTTTCTTAAGGGGGAGAAGCAAAAACGTAAACCTCACATTTACAAGAGCCAACTGAGGTTACATATTAATATCTCAGTTGCTTTAGCTGAGATGGTTTGATTAGTGCAGATCAGCTTTCTGCTACAAGGGGCTCACGGCCATCGGGATCGCACCGGCAGCTGCCGTCTGCAGAAGAGGGCAGCCGGCACCTGCATGGGACCCCAAGGCAAAGTGAGCTCTCTCGCTGGTTGTCTTAAAGGATTCTGGTTTCCAGTGTAACCCCTCCTGAAGTTATTCTGCTGCTCAAGAAAGATATGTCTGTGAGATCTTCTCGGTTAACTGAGGCAGAAGGCCATAATACAATTTTTCTTCCCTGCCAGAACAGATTCTCCCCTGGAGAGCTCTTTCCCCCGGGGATCAGGCCTCCAAAAAGCCCCTGGCCGGCGCGCCGCCCAGGAGCAGCATCCGCGCAGGGGACGGGCGCTTGGAAAGCGTGCAAGCGCTAACCACGATGATGTGACACTTGCGAGATGAAGAGATGTGCCTTGGCGCACAGCAGCTTGCACCATGCCCGCGAGCACCACGGGGGCTGAGGCCAGCGGCCGTCCCGGGAGGCGGCCTGCAAGCCCAGTTTTTGGAGGGCAGCCCTCGGCGTGCAGCGCCTGCCGCAGGAGCCTGCGCCCTCCGGCCTGCTAACCGGCTGCCAAAAGGCTTTTTCCTTCCCCACCTGCCCTCTCAGGGCCTGCAGGGACGAGCGAGGTGAAGCACAGAAAAGCCGGGGGCAGCTCCCACCCGCGCCAGCAGCAGCGCCCAGCACGCCGGTCCCCCGGGATTACACACCAGAGCAGCGCTAAGCAGCAGGCGAGTTCTGCTGTTCCGACAGCGTATTTATTAACAAAAGAAAGAAAAACTAGACAGGATGGTTTATAAACCGCAGAGGCCCAGATATGGCTTGCCCTAATCGGGGGGCAATTTCACTCAAGACCACGGAGCTGCACTGGCTGATACCCAAGCTGAGCTTAGCAAATACCATTTAACTTTTCCATGAGACATTAGTGAGTCTAATAAATCCCTGCATAACACCTTCATTAAGCAGGATTTACTGTAATATACTATATACGCTTTATGCCTCACCTGCATAAACAGCCATGTTAGCGCTATAAATTACAGCATTCGTATTAACGTATTGCAGGCACCTCAACCAAGGTGAAATGCTTAATGGCTTTCAGTAAGCCCCAGAACTGCAGAAAGTGTGGAACGAGAGAGAAGCTTCTTTAGAAGCTGACACAGACCGTAGCAGGGCTGTAAGCCTTACAAAATCATTCTCCAAAAAAAATAAAGAGAAGAAAAGATCTAAACCTCCAAAGTTTTGCATATTGCAGCATTAGTGCTAGACTTCAAGGCTTTGCAACGGAAATTGGCTCCGATTTTTGAGATATGCATTACATCATAGTCTTCTTTTAGGGCATTATGTCATTCCTACTGAGACGCATTATCTCGGCTTGGTCCAGCATTAGCGATTTTTGCGGGCCTACTGCAGTGTTCCCAAAGCACTGCTGGGAACCACAGATTGAAATCTGAAACGTTTATCTTTTACAAAGCAGAAAAAGAGGAAAGATGTTAACATCAGGCATCATTTACTTCCTTAACCCTCTCCTGACTCTGATTCTTACTGGAGCTTGGTTTTGATGCCTTTGAACATGCTGAACAAATGAGGTAACCTTTAAAAACTCACGTTAGAGCAGGCATAATACAGTGTTTCTTCCCACTCTCCGAGAAGTGCCCTTGCAGCTGCCTGAATAACACCTCCCCAGTCTTTACAAGATGTCAACATGAATCAGATTGTACCTACACATACTGACAAGCTATATTCCACAGACATGGTTGGAACATATATTAAGAATAAAGGGGGAAGGCAGTGAAAAGCTTTATGTGACTTGACTCTTATTAAAATTTTTATATTGTATCAAGCAGCCTTGATATTTTATGTTTCGGCACGTACAGAGATCGTGCACACACAGACGGATCCCTCACATCCTGATCCTTTTGAGGTCACAAAAGCAGAATTCCAGGAGGTTTATGCTAGAGAGCAATTTTTATGCAGGGAACCGAGCAGATATTATCTCTTCTGACTTCAACCATGAAATTAGAAGCCCATTTTGTCTCACTGCTTCCAGGGCAGGATTAGAAGCTGTGCCATGGAGGGAACAGACAGGTGCTTTCAGGACGAAGCAAGGATATTCCCCAAACCCCAGAGGATCCCAACACCTCTCTCTCCACAAAAGCCCAGCGATCCAAAGGGGCTCTGGATGGTGAGGGGAAATAGGAAACATTCAACCATGACTAATTACTGTTCCCTCCCTTATTATAAATCGACTAACACTATTCATTGGAAGGCTTTTTTATTCTGCTCCGTTTTTTACTTGAATTGTGTTTTTCAGTGATTCGTCACATTTTGGTGCTCTCTGCTACCGTTGCAGTGTGTTTTCTAGACAGGTTGTAACAGCAGCTCTTTACATCATACAGAAATGATTAGCAGCATAACCAGAACTCAGGAAGGCAGGACATCATTTAATCCTGCCAGAGATCTTTTTCGCATTTCGACTGAAAGCTTTTCCTTTTCCTAATTTCCTTTTGGATTGCAGAGCCTGAATTAATGCCATAAGCATAAGGAAGGAGAACAAGTCTCCAGGTGTACATAATACCTACTGTTCCCATCCCAAACTCCATGTTTATAAGGTCACTTTCTGGCCCTAACAATCTCCTTTCACAGACAGAAGTTTTATGATTTGGGGGCCAATTACTTTTAATACTTAATATTCCCAAAGGGATACAAATGGTAAGCCGCCTTGCCAGTTCCTGCTGCACTTCATAGTTGTGATAAGGTATTGCAGATAACTCTTCACTGGATGTAAAACTGTTACCCACAGGTGATAAAAACCAGCCTGTTTTGTTAAAGAACTAGTCATGAAAGGGGAGCTCCAGATATTTTCACCAAAAATATGCTTGTTGAAGGTTTTGGTAGTTTCATTTCACCAAGAAAAGATGAAGAAATGCTGTAATAATTCGTCCTAGGGAAATGCACGTCATGACAAACCAGTGAGTTACCTGCCTCTTGAAGAAGCAACGAAGAAGCCACAAATGGGTGGCATTACTGGCAGCTGCACTTCCTAAAAGGTCAGGGAGTAATATTGTGTGTAACATAGTGGGAGCCATTAGATTTGCAGAGGTGAAATGCTGTTAGAGACTGGTACTTTATGGGTACTGCATGGTTCAGGATGAAAGGTCACAATTCACCAAAACAGGAGAATATACTGATCTGAGAGATCCATGTTTCTGCAGGATGCCTTAGTTAAGGTACTCAGCAAAATGCACTTAAAATTCAGAGCAAGTAAATACAAATACTTTCGCTCTGGACCCTGCGGACTAGTAAAACTGCAGTCACAGTGTTATAAAATTACAGGACCAAACTCTACTCTTAATCAGTGTAGCATAAATCTGGATTATCTCCTCTGACTCTAGTGGGGCTACTTTAGATTTATGCAGGTTTAAATGAGAGCATAATTTGGCCAATGGCGCCTAGTGATGGATTAATACCAGAATGAGCTCATTAGGGGGGACGCTTGCAGTTTTCTTGTTGAAGACGATGTCCTTTGAGCTGTGCAAGGAAGTGTAGCTAGCAGGAGGAGCTAAACGACAGCCTGCACAGGGAAATGCAAGGCTGTTTGCCCCTCCTCAGGCAAACAGCTCCTTTAGGCTGGGGAGACGCTGAGGAGGGATGCTGTTGCCTGACAGCTTCCCTTGAAGCTGCGGGTCCACCCAAGCCCTCACTCCCCTCCCCGCCACTCTCTTACCTGGGGGAAAAGTGACTCCCCCTGCCCTGCCACATGCCCTCCCTGACAATATGATCCCTCTGGAGTTGATGCCCATCCACCCCCATGACACCTTACACCTTTTCCAGACCAGTTGCCCATGCCTCCTGGACACATGCCTCCTCCACGTGCTTTTGCATGCCTGAAGCGCGTGGAAGTCTAGCTTAGGGCTTCCAACTTGTCAGCATCCCTGTAAATACCATGGGCAGTAAGGACTAGGCATGAGTCCTTTCCAGCACAGAGCGTAAGGCAATGCACAAATGCAGTAGCAATTTCACACTGTCGGAAGATCGTGGGCTCCATACCGTGCGTGCTTCTTGGGAATATACCCTGTATAAGTAATTCCCTTTAGCAGCAAGAAAGACAACGAGGCCAAAGGTGAGCAGTACCAGTGTATGTCAGAATTAGTGGAGTTCCCCGCCTTAAATATTCATTTGCCTTTTGCCCTTTTCACTCAGACATCCTCAGACATAATTTGCAAAAGGATTCTTTTGATTTTAATTAACTTTGAATTCCTTTTTTTCCCAAAAGTGTGAAATTATAAGCTTGTGCCTGATTCCCCACTGCATTTCTCTGGTTTTACAAGTGTGTGGCTCTACTGATTCTATTCTTCACTGAATTGAGACTCACTGGAGAAATTATGACAGGAGAAGACCCTAGCCTGCTACAGCCTCAGTGAGAAAGTCTTAACTCAAGGGGCCACAGCTCACAGCTGTAACTCTAGGCTAGATGGGGAAGGAGTCTTTTTGACAACTAGCATATCTGTTAAACAGAGATTTTTGAAAGAACTGGGTCAAACTTGATGATTTTCCAAGGGAAAAAGAAAAAGGAAAAAGTATTTCCAAGATCGAAACTTTTATACTTTCAACATTCAGGGTTTTATTTTGGAAACGGTGCACCATTTTCATCCAGTGTTGAAAAACGAAAGTTTTCTGCTCCTTGTTTTGAAACAC